ACACACTTGAGCACACACCCTGTCGAGCATGTTGAAGGAGAGGACGATGTCGCGCTGCTTGATGCGCGGATCGTAGCGCCGCACGATCCGCTGTTGTTGTTGTTGTTGTTGTTGTTGTTGTTGTTGTTGTTGTTGTTGTTGTTGTTGTTGTTGTTGTTGTCGTCGTCGTCATACGTTGGCGAATGTTGGCATGTGTTTGTTTGTGGTGGCAGTGTGCATGAATTCTCGAGCCATGATAAACAAAGCAACAGGATCCACATCATCCACATCATCCACATCATCATCATCATCATCATCCTCATCATCATCATCATCACACAACCACAAAAGCATTCATGCCCCCCCCCAAAACCAAACACCACCACCGTCACCACCCACCAACTGCGTGCGTCACCTCGTATGCTGCAAGGTTGATGCCCCCCTCATCGGCCTGCAGGGCCTGGTCGTACGCCAAGCGCACGGCCTGGCGGCGGTGCAGGAAGATCGAGCGGTACTTGCGCTTCTCCGTCACCTGGTAGAAGTCAAACACTGCACGCGCACGGTTGCGAGTTGGTTGGTGTTGGTTGTTTGGTGTTGGTGGTGGAGGGGAAGGGTGTGAGGCGGTGCGTACGCACACACCCACTCTCTCTTTCCGACTCTCTCTCTCTGTCTCTCTCTGTCTCTCTCTGTCTCTCTCTGTCTCTCTCTGTCTCTCTCTGTGCTGTCTTTCAACATCTCTTGTACTCGTTCCCTACCCTCTTGTCACCACCCTAGTATCACCACCATCTACGCCCCCCCCCCTCTCGCGACGACCGCAACGCACCAAAGGCGAGGAAGATGTTGGAGATGGTGTAGAGGCCGAGAATCAGGAACAGCACGAAGAAGATCGGCGCATAGCTTGAATACGTAAACGCTGCACACATGCACACGCACACACGCACACACGCACGCATGTGAATGTGTCAGTGGTGGTGTGAGCGATGAAGCAAAACACAATGCCCACGCATCAAACAACATGTCCAAACAACAAAACAAATAAAACATGCAAAACGTCACAAGAACACATTCAAAGGACTCAAGCAAGCCAAAACAACACCACCACCACCAACAACAACAACACCACCAACAACAACACCAACACCGCCAAAACACACCACCACTCACCCGGCATCATGACGTCTGGGTAGTTTGCGGTGGTGACGAGGACAAAGAGGTTCACAAAGCTCTTCTCAAGGTTCACAAAGTTTGGCTCGTCCGGGTTTGGCGAGAAGAAGTAGTACGCTGGCAGTGCGTGTGTGAGTGAGCGAGCGTGTGTGTGTGTGTGTGTTGAAGTTGGCAGTGAGAGCAGCAAGCAATCCTGGCATCATCATACACAAACACCCTATCTCCCCCCCCCAGCTCATTCACACACACAAACAACCCCCCACCCACACACACACCGAGTACGGAGGAGATGAGGATGAAGAGGAGGAGGAGCACGGTCATCCAGCGGATGTACCACAGCGACTGCACAATTTGCCGCAGCACCCTGGCACGCGGTGGAGGGGTGCGCGCGGCATGACGGGCGTGTGAGTATGTGGATGCACTCGAAATGACACAGCAGGCAAATCACATCACAGCAACACATCACACAACAAACATGATCACACAACAAGGTTACACACACACACACACACACACACACATACACCCACCACACACACACACATACCACCCACCACACACACACACACACCACACAACACCACC